GTGATGCTCATGAATGTTGACATGAATGATGGTCATGAATGTTTATGTATGATTGTCATGAGTGATGCTCATGAATGTTTATGTATGAATGAGTAGTGCTCATGTATGATTTGGAGTACTAGGCGTACTTTTGATCACCTGGTTGGTGTTATTTTGGGCTTATGGGCCTTCGCCCTCCACAACATTCCAGTCCAACCCATTTATTTTGGGCTTGTCGTTGTTCTTTTTTTTTTTTTTTTTTTTTTTTTTTTTTTTTACCCTCTGATGGGGTTTATACATATTACCCTCGGATGGGGTTTATACATATGTGTCCAAAAGATAAGAAAAATAAATTACATCATTCTGGTGGGGTGTTTATTCCATGCTTTTGCAGTGTTTTTCTGCTGCACTCTCTGTCTCTTCATCTGACAGACATAAGAAATCATAATAATAGGAAGATTTTTTGCTTTTCTCCTTTTCTCTTTTCCTTTTCTGTTTTTCCTTTTGCTTTCTCTTTTCTGCTTTGTTCCCCCTTGCTTTTTTGCTTTTTTCTTGATCTCTGCACCTTTGTTGCTCTAGCCTTGCTTGAACCAACTTGGTGATAGCTTGCATCTCTCTCTTTTGCTTTTTCCTTTCTCTTTGTTTCCCACTACTTTTCTTTCTCCTCTTTCAGATGGCAGACAACGCCAAAGTGGAATAATAATGGTATTGTTGTAAAACAACTTATCTGTATCTCTATTTTCATCATTGGCAGCGGACGGTGATCTCATCTTTTGCTTTTCTTGGTATCTCCATCAGCATCTGCTGAAGGTTTGGAGGAGGAAGTCCGGCCTTGGGTAGGCCATTTCTTAAGCTCCGCCATCACCCACAGCACCATCCACGCCCACGTCGGGTACTCCTCCTTACACAGCTCCGCTAGGTGTCGCTCAATCGCCACCCCGAGCCGAACCGACAGCAGCTGCACCAACAGCCTCATCGCCGTCGCCCACATCAGCAGCCATAGCAGCGAGTTCCTAGCTATCGCCCCCGCCTGAAGATCACCCTCCAAATTCCCCAGGTCCAGAAACACGATACTCATCAAGAACCCGGGTCCGGTTAACAGTCACAGATTCTTCCATGAAAACGTCGGCGTTTGGCAATTATCGTCTCCGGCCTCATTGATCCCCACCACGTGGACCTTATCGGCCTCGTCGTAGGCCGCCTCGGGAAGGTCTCGGTCCGAGTCGAGTAAGAGTGGCTTTGAGTGGTCGTGAGTCGAAACCATCGCGTTGTGCGGTGTATGAATTCCCTGCGGGCATTTGTACGAGTGTCTCCGTGCGGTCGCGGGAAGGTCTCTGTGCTGCTCTGTTTATCTCTTCAACTCAGAAACGAAGCTCTCTGAAAAGTGCCAGTTTGACAAGAGCTGTTTGTTTTCTCCACCTCCAGTTTTCAGATAGGACCACTCATCGGCAAGTTCACGGCTTTTGAAAGGGGAAGACGAAGGTGTTCCAGCCTCTCTTGATGGCGGCCGTCATGACCTGCTTGCTCTCCGTCCACACCCACACCTTTTTCGACTCGCCGTACGTCCCCGAAGACGACGTCGTGGAAGACCCGATAGCAGCGGCGGAGGAAAAGTTCTGGGAAAGCATTGAGTGTCTGTGCCATGAAATCAATCTGCAAATGTTCCATTTATCTGTGGTGGGGCAAAAATATTGCTGTTTTAGTCGACGTCCTGCACAGCCAGTGAGTCAACAGTGGATCGGCTTTTGAGGGATATTTCTGGGTTGAATTGAGAGATAGAGAGAGTAATTAAAAAAGAGAAAGTGATCTGTAGAGAGAGAAAGGGAGTTCGAAATTTGAGGATTTCTTTTTTGTTTTGGTTTGTGTGCGACTGACTGAGAGAGGAAGTAGCGCCATGGGTTTTCTGGGAAACATTGGTTTGTTTGGGTTTTTGCAGATTCACGGTGGAGGTGAAAAAATGAAAGATAACCGACACAACTTTTAGTATCGTTTCCCACAGACGGCGCCAAATGTTGATGCACAAAATCGGATGGTCTTGGAACAACGTAAATCCGACCGTGAATCTGCATGAAATGTAAATGACACAAAGAACACAAGGATTTTATCGTGGTTCACCCCAATGTTTGGGCTACGTCCACACTGTAGTTGATTCTGTTTCTCTGTAAGTGTATGGATACAAGTGTTTGGGGGAAGTCCCCGGAGGAGAAAGAAGAGAAGGGAGAGGAGAGCCTCGGTGGTGTGAGGTCTCTCCTGAATGTAATGATAGCTTCTCTTAGCCTTCTTAGGCTTGGTTCTTTTGCCTCCCCTAGAATGAGGGTAGGAGTCCCCTTTTATAGAATAAGGGGCTCCTCCTCTTTTACAAAGTATGGGCTTTAGTGTGAGGCCTAAATACAAGGCCCGATGCCCAAATATACGAGGCCCTAAATATGGTATACAACATTTAAAAAAGAATTCAAATCTAGCAGTCCAGATCGCGCCACGTGGCTAGGCAATGGATTTGAATTTCAATTTTTTTTTACCATTATAAATCTAACGGCTAAAAAAACTAGCCGTTGGAAATCCAACGATCTAGAATGAGCCACGTGGCATCCGGACCCTCGCCCCTATCCCGCCTGCATATGCGGGCCTCGCTCTCTTTTTCTTGTCAGAACGCGCAGCCAGTCGTGTGTGTTTTACACGTGCCTAGCAAAAAAAAAAAATTTAATGGCATGTGATGTCACGCTGGCGTCAACATGACGTCACATAAGCCAACCATGACTCAACACATTATAGGCCGCCCTATGAGACGGCTTAGGTTGGGTGCCAACCTACTTTTTGTGGGTGCCGGGCCATTTTGAAGGATGTGAGCTGGCTTACCCCTTTGGGGTGGACTTGTTTTAAGGTGCAGTAAATGGTACAATGCTGTCAACGCATGTGTCAGCTTCATAACTTGCCACATGGTGGTTGTTTGGATCAAAAGAGTAAACAATACAACCATTTGCATCATCACTTGGTCTTTTATCTTGGAAATAGATCATATCTGGATCTCTTTCACCAAGGCTATCAGATCAACTGATCCGGATCTTTCAAATTTCATCTAACAGCCCACATGTTTTGATCTCTTAAAATTGTGATAATTTATAGTTGTTGGATGAAATTTAGAAGATCTAGATTATTTAATCTGATAACTTTGGTGGAAGAGATTCAGAAGTGATCTCTTTCCAAGATAAGTGATGATGCAAATGGTTGTACTGTCAACTCATTTGATCCAAACAACTGCCACGTGGCAAGTTATGAAGTTGACACGTGCGGTGACAGCATCGTACCATCTGCTGCACCTTAGCTCAGCGAAGCCATGGATTTAAATATCGATATTATCGGCGAAATATCGCCGATAATATCGATTTTTCGGGGAATGGATATTTAAATAGGTATCCGTGTGGTTTTCGTCCAAATATCGCGATATTATCGATAATATCGATAATATCGCGATATTTTGGAAATATCGAGATATTTTGTTGAACGGTGCAATCGGCCTCCGATATCGAACGCCGGAGATGGTGTGCCTATTCCCGAGCCCATTTCGTCCCAAAAACCTTGCAAAAACACGATTTTTAACTTCAATTTCACATATAAGCTTCAAATTTCACGCATGCATCAACGATTCAACATATGTGATGTCGGTTTAGGACTTAGGGTTTCAATGGAATCTCACCTGAAAAATTGATGACTGGGCCAACTCCTTGCTCAGCGGCGCACCACCAGAGACGACTGAGCCAAGTCCGACTTCGCCAGAGCCACGATCAACGGCAGCGAAGGATCGAGAGAGTGGGCGAAGGATCGAGAGAGTGGGAGAAGGGGGAGATCTGTGTGTGTGTGGGTCGAATGGAGAAGGGGGAGAAGAGAGGTCAGGCCTCAGAGAAGAAGAGAGAAGGATTGAGGGCCTCAGAGAAGAAGAGAGAAGGATCGAGAAGGGGGAGATATGTGAAGATGAGGGAGGAGGAGGAGACAGTGCGGGGAGAGAGAGAGGAACAGAGATCTGTGAAGATGAGGGAGGAGGAGGAGACGATGCGGGGAGAGAGAGAGGAACATAGATCTGTGATGCGGGGAGAGAGAGGAACAGAGATTTGTGAAAATGAGGGAGGAGGAGGGGACGGTGCGGGGAGAGAGAGAGAGAAAAAACCTTGGTGGTGGGACGGGAGACTTAAAAAAAACAAAACCATTGGCTTTGATGGTTTTAGTCTAAAACTTTTAGACAAGTGACGTGAAAGAGGTACATGGTTTTAACTTTTAATAATGAAGGCCATCCATTTATATTTTTAAAAGTTTAGGATATATTTTTTATATATATATATATATGTTATATAAATTATAAATTATTTAGATAATATTTTGTTTTTTTTAACTAAGCAAGCATATTATATTTGAACCCTTCCTTTGTCAACCACGTACCTGGGCCTTATCCAACTCGTTACAGATGTGTTTGTGATTACATATTCAGCCTTATATGGTCATTAAGATGTCTGCAAGGTTTGCAAGCTAATATTTATTATCTAAGATAAATTTCTATATTTTAAAAAACACCAAGGTGAAAATTTTGAACCTCATAGGAACTCTATGTGGTACTAAGTCACTCATGTATCTTTCCATGCAATGTATAAAGTGTAAAATATTGTACTAATTCATTATATATAAATGATTATGGTGTGTTTAAATTTCTTTCATTAATTACTACATATTTTCTACACTCACAATGTTTGTCAGCTCGCTATATAATCAACTTGATAATGTTAAATTCATCATGCAATGCATTTCCTTCCAATTTTTTGTGATAAATTAATAGATAATTGACTAAATAAACATCCTGCAAAGTTTCAATAAAAATTTCCAAGTTTTTCTTACAATTTCCGTGGTTTCCATGTAATTTTTATCGATATCGATATTATACCGATATTTCCATCGATATTTCCGTGTTTTCGGACTACCGATATTTCCGATATTACCGATATTTAAACCCTTGAGCGAAGCACAACCCTGCTGCTACTAGCCCGGGGGGGCGGTATTTTGGATGACGAAAACTCTTTTGTCACAGTTGCCGCGAATTCTGTACTTATCTAACAATCTCAGTTTCTCTTAGAATAATACAATAAACCTCCATACCACGACACATTTATGATCTTCCACACCTTCATACGTGGCTGCTCGGACCAATTCTTCTTTTGCTTCAATTAATTCGCAAACTGGTGATGTGGGTTCGTAGATTTTGGTTCGGAGCGTGTAATCTGAGGTGGGTTTTGCGAAATGTTGCAGAAATCTGAAGAATTTCATCGGCAAAAGCTGAGATTGCTGAGAAAGCGGCGGTCTTGAATGTGCATTTTGTGGCAAGTTGTGTTGCTTTTGGGTGTTATTAGTTGCTGGGTTTAGTTTGTTAGTGGGATTTGAGAATTAGGTTTGATTAATTTTGGTATTGTGGTGAGTAATTTAGAATTGGTTTGTAGCAGGTTGAAGAGATTGATGATGTTGTTGGTAGAATTTGGGTGTTGGGTTTTCGGATTGCAAGTGATTTTTTGATCTGGTAGTTTTTGTGAACTTGCTGGTGTTGCAGTTGTTTAAGTTTCTTAATTTTGCTATGAACTTATGATTGCTGAAATCTTAACAGATTGAAAGAGTAAACTTAATTGACTAAAATTTGCTTCTTGTAGTTTCTGAATTATGATAAGTAAAATCATAACACATTGAAAGAGCAAAAACTAGGGATGGCTGTGGCAAATATGCTCGAGAATTTTGTTAGAGATGGATCCTTCAAATGGTTGCTTGGAAATCGTAGCCCTTATGATGAAGAATTGGAGGATATGGAAAAATCCCCTTCTGCCCAGACGAATTGGGTACCAGAGCTATCTCCAATTGCAAACATAGTTGTCCGAAGATGTTCAAAGTAAGTCTTCAGCTGTTCACCTGATACTGTCAACTGTTATATTATCACAGTAGAACTGGATGAAATATGTGCAACTTATGTTTTTCGCTCCTTTGGAAATTATTCTTTTGTTGTTGGGAACTTCATATGAATCACAAACAAAATGTGGTAACTAGTATCGAGAAGTGATTTTCTGGTGCTATTCACTTTTAACGAAAAAGACATTTTTACTTTAAAAGTCAGTCATGGTACTATTCACTTAGGATACATTTTTATCATTTCGATTAAAACTCAAAATTTTCAAGCATTTTTCATTAGTTTCCTATTTTCTAATGATAACAAACAAATGATGCAGAATCCTTGGTGTTCCTACAACTGAGCTTCGTGAAGGCTTCAATTCTGAGGCTTCTGAATCTATAAAGCATCCATCGTGTTATGCTAGGAACTTTTTGGAATACTGCTGTTTCCGAGCACTTGCTCTGTCCACTCAAGTAACAGGTCATCTGGCTGATAAAAAGTTTCGACGCTTGACATATGACATGATGATAGCTTGGGAGGCTCCGGCTGTTTCTAGCCAACCTTTACGAAATGTAAATTTTGTTTTTTCTTTTTCCTTAGAAGCTTATTTCTTATGTTGTAGATTCTCAGATATTCCTATCAGTACTGTACATACAGCATACAATCTCTAATCTTATGTTAAATATTTTTTTTTATCGGACCTGTTTTGTCTATGTGTAAGTTATAGTTTGGCGTTCAAACGATTCTTTGCACTGTAATGCTTCTATTAATGTCAACATGTCCTCGTTTTTTGTGCAGTTAGATGAGGATTTATCCGTTGGGTTAGACGCTTTCTGTAGAATAGCTCCAGCAGTTCCTATTATTGCAAATGTGATTATCAGTGAAAATCTTTTTGAGGTGCTTGCATCTTCTAGCAATGGGAGACTTCAGTTGTCCACATATGACAAGTACCTAAGTGGACTAGAAAGGTACATTCTCTCCTATTGAGTTTGCATTTTCTTCCTCTCTCCCCTTCAAACTTGCATTTTCTTTTCATAAATTTCAAAGTTCAAATTTATGGAATTTCTGGAAGCATATTTCTTGTACTGCGTATCAGACACTCATAACTAGTCCTACGATTTTGAAATTTTTCTCGTACAGATCAATAAGAAAAATGAAAAGCCAATCAGAGTCATCACTTCTTTCTGCCATGCGATCATCAAAAAGAGAGAAGATTCTGGAAGTGGATGGAACAGTCACTACCCAACCGGTTCTCGAGCATGTAGGAATTTCTACATGGCCTGGTACGTCAATGGATAGTTAAACAATTCAAATATCTTTGTTGGCTCACGTCCTTGTCAGTTCTTATTATGGATTTACTGCACATGAAGATTATTAATGCGAAATTAATTGTGTTGTAAGCAGGAAGGTTAATTCTGACAGACCATGCACTTTACTTCGAGGCCCTGCGTGTTGTATCTTATGACAAGGCAAAACGATATGATCTATCAGATGACTTAAAACAGCTTGTGAAAGCTGAGTTGACTGGCCCATGGGGTACTAGACTGTTTGACAAGGCAGTCTTTTATAAATCAAATTCATTGTAAGTTAAGCATTACCTTTTATTTTTGGTGCTTTTGGTCTCTACACTTGTTCTGCTATGTAGCTATTAAAGAAAGTCGTCTTCTTAGGACTTGATTATCAACTTTCAGTAGTGTCTTTTCTGTAGATCAGAACCAGCTATAATAGAGTTTCCGGAGCTGAAGGGGCATACACGTCGTGATTACTGGCTAGCAATCATACGGGAGATTTTATACGTTCATCGATTTATAAATAAATACCAGATCAAGGGGATAAAAAAGGATGAAGCACTTTCAAAGGCAGTGCTTGGAATTCTGCGACTACAAGCAATTCAAGAAATTATCTCTCAAACTGATTTATGCTATGAGGGTCTTCTAATGTTCAATCTTTGTGATCAACTACCAGGTGGAGACTTGATACTTGAAACCATGGCAGATTTGTCAACTTTTAAAAAATTAGATGGGTCTAACAATTCTAAGTCAGGAGATGGAATGTATTCAATCTCAGCCTTGGATATGATCTCTAACTTGGGATTTGCATTTGGAACAAGTTCTAATAATTCTGTTGAGGCTGGGCTTGCCGTGGGGGAGATAACTGTGGGAGAAGTTACTTTGCTGGAAAGAGCAGTTAAGGAATCTAAAAACAACTATGAAAAAATGGCTCTAGCACAAGCAACAGTAGATGGAGTCAAAGTGGAAGGGATCGATACAAATTTTGCAGTGATGAAGGTATTTGGTTATAATGTAATGTTATTTAAGGTTTTATTTAGCCTATATTCTCTTACATATCTTATGAGTTAAACTCCATTTTCTGGCAACGTCGTCTAAATTTGTTGAGTAATTGCAGGAGTTACTCTTTCCAATGACGGAATTAGGGAAGTGCCTGCTTTCTTTGGCATTTTGGGAGGATCCGTTGAAGTCTTTGCTTTTCTGTTGTGTTTTCACTTACATCATTTGCAGGTAAACTGCTTGAAATTTCATTTTCTTCCTTTACTGGTTGGTCTTTAATTTAGACGTAGGGGGAGTGGGAAAAAATGAATATTTAAAAAGCATGATTATCGCACATTATAACAGAGTCAAACTTTGATGCTGACTCAATGTAACATGGTTTTCAGAGACAGAAACAAGCCCTCCAAGTGAAAATTCGTAGGTACTAAATTTTTTGGAAACTGCCTAAATGAGAACACGGGGGTAGCTAGAGAAAAAAATACAGTTCAATGGGATTTCTCATGGTCTCGATACTCTAGTGTTTCTTTCCACACATAAAACCGGTAGGAATTTTGTCTGTAGACTGACACACGTGCACTTTTCAGGGGATGGCTGAGCTATGCCTTTGCATTGATGCTCGTCTTTATGGCGGTCTTCATGGTTCTCACTCAATATTTTAGCCAAGGAAAGTCCACTCACGAGGTTAAGGTGTTAGCACCTCCAGCGATGAATACGATGGAGCAGCTTTTGGCTGTTCAGAATGCCATATCTCAAGCTGAAGAGATCATCCAGGATGGGAACGTTGTTCTTCTCAAGCTACGTGCCTTGTTGCTGTCCCTTTTTCCTCAGGTTCCGCTCTCTTATTCCTTGCTCGTTCCTCCACCTTTCTACTTCAGTTAATTTATATACTTTTAGCACATTGACCGTGGATAATGATTGTGTGTAATGATGATCAGGCGAGCGAAAGATTTGCGATAGCTCTTCTAGTTATGGCTTTGGCTCTGGCTTTCATGCCCGTCAAGTATATTGTTCTATATATCTTTTTTGAGACTTTTACATGTTATTCGCCGATGAGGAGATCGAGCACGGAGAGATGGATGAGAAGATTGCGAGAGTGGTGGTTCAGCATACCAGCGGCGCCCGTTATTCTTGAAAGAGAAAAGGAAGAGAAGAAGAAGAAATGATGATGTAACTATTTGTGAAATGTATAATATATGTCCAGGTAACGTTTTTCTGTACTACATAGAGAGAAAGTGTGTGTGTATATCTTAACGAGGAAGTCGAAATAAGCTCCTCGTATGAAATTTAAGGAAAAAAGAAAGAAAATAAATAAATAAAAAGGTTTGTTTGTCCAATTAATACTTAATTTTTTAACTGCTTCTTCTCCGGCGCAGTCCGCCAGGATAAATCGTAAAGCTGCTTCTGCAATCTGCAACTGTTAAAATGATCTAACAGAGGATGGCTGCTTCCTGCTGCCATTTTTGGATCGATTAAAGTCCATAAATTTTCATTTTTCCAGAAGAGGGTGCATGAGGGTGGGCACCTGCTACGTTAATTTAATCTAAATTTTAAGGGATAAAATTTTAATTAGGATTCATAAAGTAGCACATCTGTTCTAGTCAATATGGCTCGTTTTATCTTTTTCCTCCTCCATCCATCCATCCATTTCGATTTGATAAACAAGAAGCCGTCAGAAACATGAGTTAATTATCAGATTACAACGATTTGATTGACAAAAAGAATTGAAAAAAAGTTCTACCTCAGAAAATTAGAACTTTTATTGGCAGCTTGCAGGCATCCACATTAACTCCAAAAAATCGATGAAAAACAAAAACCAACAAATAATCAAACATTAATTCTAACAAAAACGGCGAATCCTTCCCTTCAATTTAGTCACGTAGGCAGGCCTTCAATTTAGTCGCGTAGGCAGGGCCATTCCATCACAAAGTAGTACTCCTCCTCCTCCGCCGCATGATCATGAATCATGATCACCATGCAGGATGATCGTCATATTGCTGTGAAGAGGTGGCTGATGGAATTGGAGCACAAGAAATCGGTGGCGTTTGGCGTAAAAACCGGAATGTTTCCGAGGTAAGGATTAGGCGGCACGAAGCAGGAATTCACCTGACCATCCCCTCCTCCTCCTCCTCCTCCTACACCTACGATGCTCCCTACATTATTATTGCTATTGTTGTTGTTATTATTATTATTAATGTTTTTGCTGCTACAATTCTCCTCCGTCGTAATAACCGACGACGAATCGTTGTCCTCGTTCCTCATCATAACCTTTCCGGTGATCCTATTATTATTCATGATCTCCTCCTCCAACAAACTCTCCACATTAACCTCGCGTTTTGCTGAAGGAGGCGGCGGCTGCGGACGAGGCTCTCGCCTGTCATCCTCAAAGCGCGATAGCCCCGTGAGCTTCTGCACCAACGCCATGAAATCCCTCGGGTGCGTGTGGATGACCTTGGGCGAATGCGTGTAGATAATCACCGGGTGGCGCTGTTGCTGGGGCGGTTTGATCACCCCAGCCGCAGCGTTCACGAGGAAAGATGTGGACGACGAAGCTGACGACGACGGCGAGGCCGAAGACGAGGACGAGGACTTCTTGATGAAATGGGAGTCCCTGTTGATCTTCAAGGGCGGAGGGTAAAACGACGTCCCATGATTATTGTTGGTGCGGATCACGTCCCTTTTGTTTGCGTTTGCATGTGGGCTCATTGTAAATATTGGCACTTGTGGGGACAGTTTTGTTTGGGCGCAGGGAAGCGCGCAAGGGCCTCTCAAAAGTACAAGAAATTAGATGAAGGGGAAATATATATAGAGGTGGAAATAAGTAGGTGTGACAAGTTTTGCTCCTATTTGCATGGGATTTGTTGAAACAAATTTAGAGGGTATTAAATTTAAATGTACATGTTTCTTGAGAACTACATGTACCGATGATCGTTGAATTTGATCTAACGGTTTTAAAAAATCAATACTCAGTGCATGTGCATGTAGATAACAAAGAAAATTTTCAAATTTGAAGGTGTGCAATATGGGGAATGTATTAGGGATGACTGATCGAGTGCAGGCGTTCCTACGATTGGATGGGTGGGCTTTTCGAGTAGTATTGTGCCACGTACGGGGGTTTTTAATTGGATTGTGGATATAGGAGTGTGGTGGTGGTTCCGAAATTGTCGAACTGGGCCAGTAGGGATGTGCCAGGTGGACTGACCGTTGAGATTTGTATGGGGATGGGGGTGCGGTGGTGGAATTTGAGGGCTAATCGGAGAAGCAGTTTGATTATTTTTGTACTTACATTTCTAGGCAGCTAGGATATTGTCGTCTTAGCAGTTCTCTATGAGTTGCAATTGCATGCTTCTCTAAACCATCTACACGCTTTCCATGCATTCAAATCTCTCATCTCCCACTCTTCTCAAGATACACGGAATGCATTATGTTTGTACCATACTTAGAGCCTCCGTATTTAGATCTCGTATAAATACTCGGATGATTCAAATGTAATTATGTAATAAATGAAGGGGTAAATATGTAATAAATGAGGAGCCCTTATTCTATATAAGGACTCCTCACTCTCTTCATTGGGAGATGCCAAGATTGAGGGCAAGGCTTAGGCCACAGAAAATGGGCTAGAGAGAAAATAGGCTAGAGAGCACACTGCATCTAGCCTTCTTGTATATTCACAATTCAGAGTGAAACAATATCAACATCAGTGTGGACGTAGCCCAAACATTAGGGTGAACCACGATACATCTTGTGTTCTTTACTTTCTTACATATTCACGATTAGATTTACGTTGTTCCAAGATCCCTCCGGTTTTGTGCATCAACATTTGGCGCCGTCTGTGGGAATCGACACGAAAACCCATGTCGGTTCTCTCTCAATTTTTCACCTCCGTCATGAATCTGCAGAAACCAAGAACCCAAAGCTTTCCCAGAAAACCCACGGAGCCACCTCGTCTCTCACTCTCTCTCTACTCTCTTAACTATAAACCCACCACATCTCTCACTCCCACTCCAATCATTTCTCTTCAATTTTAAGCAAAACCCATTTCAGATTTCAGAAAACCCATTTGAAAGTTTAAAACTTTCACTCGAATCCCTTGAAGAATAAGGAAGAGAAATAGAAAAAAATACACAAGAAATTTCCAACAACCATGGCAACCAGCGGAGCCCTAACCTCGACAGGCCCCAAACCCGTAGTCACCGACGAGGTCCTGAAAGTCTTCAAAAGCTTCGACGCCAGCGGCGATGGCAAGATCTCCGTCAACGAGCTCGGCAACGACCTCAAGGCCCTCGGCTTCAACGTCTCAAACGACAAGCTCAAGCGTGTTAAGGTCGATCTCGACACCGACAATGATGGCTTCATTTGCCTTGACGAGTTCAACGCCTTCTGGGTCTCCTCCAGCTTAAACAGGAGTCCAAAACCTACGACCCGATATCTCACTTCTATAGCTATATGTCAGGCACGAGACGCAAGACTGGTTGAAGGTCCACATAACTGACGTGCAGAAATAGAGGTGGGGGTTACGTACAACCTCATCCCTATAGAGCAGCCGCCGTCGCTGAAACAAATCATCACGCCGTCAGGGAAAACAAAGAACCCCATCCAGCACTTAGGGTACTCCGGCTCTAAGCTCATCTCCAGCTACATCTTCGACCTATTTGGGTTCGCCATCAAGGGGAAGTCCGACAGGTAGGTCCTCTTCAATTCAAGCTCTGAATCGAAAGACCCATATGGCGAATTGGAGTTTAAGGACCCGTACCTCGAGGTTTCCACCAGTTTGCCGAAAGACGCCGTTTTGTATGGCCTGAGGGAGAACTTGTAGCCACACAAGATCAAGCTTTACCCGAACGATCCATATACCTTCTTCACCACCGACATCTCGGTGGTCAATCTCAACACTAATTTGTACGGCTGTTTTGGCTCTCCCAACAAACATTTGTTAATCAGCAAGCCCATTTTGTAAGGCGGCAGAGGGAATAATATGCAGGTGGTAAACTACTATGGACACCCACTTGCTCGAAGAAAGAAGCTGTGCAATGCAGGTGTAGCCAAGTAATTAAAGAGCATATCATCATCCTATGTTAATCTTATCGTTACCGCCATCGTCCTCGGCCTAGTCATCTTCACCCCTATCATCATCATCTCCAGTCCCTTATGGGTCCCCCTCAAGGAAAGCAAAAGCAAAGCAGAAAAACAAAGTAAAAGTAAAAGGCAAAAGCAAGGAATAAAGGGAGGAAAATAATGAAAAAGGAAAAGATGTCTGGAGATAGAGAAAAGCCGAGGAAGTGGAAAGCATGGCACACCTATACCCACTGTCATTAATGAATATTTTTAAGTTGTCTTCTGCAAACTGGAGCAATTATTGTATAGTTATACTGATGTGTAAAGAAGACAAAAAAAAAAAAAAAGTACGTCCAATACTCCAAAATTATTCGGCAGCCTGCTGCTATTATCACCCACTAGGTGATCAAAAGTACGTCCAGTACTCCAAAATTATTCGGCAGCTTACCACTACTATCACCAACCAGGTGATCAAAAGTACGTCCAGTACTCCAAAATTATTCAGCAGCCTACCGCTATTATCACCCACTAAGTGATTAAAAGTACGTCCAGTACTCCAAAATTATTCGGCAGCTTGCCCGCTACTATCACCAACCAGGTGATCAAAAGTACGTCAAATACTCCAAAATTATACATGAGCATCATTCATGTCAATCATACATAAACATTCATGAGCATCACTCATGACAATCCTACATAAACATTCATGACCATCACTCATGTCAACATCCATGAGCATCACTCATGTCAATCAACATAAACATTTATAAGCATCAGTCATGTCAATCAACTTCGAAAACTTCATTTACATAGCTCCAGCTTCGAGAGTTCCAGTTTCAAAAGATTCATTTACAAAAGCTCCAGCTTTAAAGCTTCACTTGCAAAGCTTCACCTACAAAGCTTCAATGCAGGGTATACATATACTGCCTCCGAACAACCGCCACTTCGGCTCATACATGGATTCAATTTGAAGTCTTCAGCCAACATACTCTATTGACTGAAGACTTGGGGGACTACACTATGTACCATATATTGGGCTTCTGCAACTGGGCATCATGAAAAATACTTGGGGGACTTATCCCATTACTTATGTACTGAGGAATAAGTCATTATTCTATAAAAGGGACTCCCTCACCATCATTAGAGAACATCGCCGCCCGCTGAGCAACCGCCTCGCCGCGAGCATCAACTCTAACCCATCACGTATGTTTTGATGAGCGAGCCCTTATTCTATAAAAGGGACTCCCTCACCATTATTAGAGAGCATCGCCGCGAGCATCAACTCTAGCCCATCATTTATGTATTGAGGAGCGATCATTTATTCTATAAAATGGACTCCCTCACCTTCAACGCCACAAGCCGAGCCAACCAAAGCAACATAAACCACAAGCAGAGCAGCATCACAACATGTGCTACTTCTAGTTGAGCATAATTTCAGATTGGGTACCGCCTCATATCGAGTATCCGTTATAGACGACATCTAGTTACTTCGGCCCACACATGGACTGAATTTCAAGTCTCCGGCCAAAAGACTCTCTTGACTGAAGACTTGGGGGACTACTGTTTGTACCATACTTAGGGCCTCCGTATTTAGATCTCGTATAAATACTAGGGGGTCTCAAATGTAATTATGTAATAAATGAAGGAGCAAATATATAATAAGTGAGGAGCCCTTATTCTATAAAATGACTCCTCACTCTCCTCATTGGGAGAGGTCAAGATTGAGGGCAAGGCTTAGGCCACAGAAAATAGGCTAGAGAGCACACTACCTCTAGCCTTATTATATATTCACCATTCAGAGTGAAACAATATCAACATCAGTGTGGACGTAGCCCAAACATTGGGGTGAACCATGATACATCTTGTGTTTTTTACTTTCTTGTAGATTCACGATCGGATTTACGTTGTTCCAAAACCCCTTTGGTTTTGTGCAACAACACACTATATGTAGTTCTTAATGCCGAAAAGTTATTCAGCACGAAACTCACATTGCTACGTAATATTATAAAGGTTTTAGTTTGCAAATATCGACTACTACTTCCTTGACTAAATAAGTCATGTTATTTGATATTTGTTAAACTCAATCCTTTGTAGATTACATCTTTTGGTATCAGATTCGTATGAGTTTTACTGAAGTCAATCGCGCATGCCGAAAACCCTAAGGCCTTGAATTAAAAGGGCCGGAGTTAGCGATAGGCTGTGAGATTTTTAACTCACATCTCTAAGATTGGAGAACATTCCGACCATCCAAGATGCAAAAGTGGGTTTACAACCACCATATATATCCTAATTATATTCTATGCTCTCTTGAGTTGAGATGGTCCTTAACTCGTCGGTTTATGCTGGTATATATGCAGCCTTTACACGTTAATGGAGAATGGAATATTCATCATATGCATAGTGCTATATATTAACCGATAAAATTTATTTTTATTTTTATTTTTGTAATGTTAGGGAGACTAACTTTTAGATTAAATTTTGTAAATCATATGACGTTGTTATTGATTATTAGACTATTACTTAAGTGTTAATTAATGTGCTTATTTCTTATTGGTGACACATCATATGGTTGCAAATTTAATTTAAATCTACGTAGCATTACTCTTTTTCATTATTCACATTATATATTGATTTTTTATGTCCATGTTTTTAGAGATTGTGAAAACGAAATGACTATCAAATGATCTCTTAGTTTACATATATGTATTGCCCACTTATATGGTGGTCAACATGATAAGATAAATATTCATATATGCCAGAGTGCACTTTGACACTGTGCATTATCTTTAAAAGAAGGGAGTTTTAACGAAAAGTCTACGGTACTGTTCACTTTAACGAAAAACCATATTTTTACACTAAAAAGTCAAACCTGATACTATTCACTTTACCCTTTATTTTGTCATTATCATTAAATCTCAAAGTTTTCAAGCCATTTTTATTAGTTTTCCTTTAAAAGAATTCATGTACACAGTTTACATATATAGAAATACTAGCAACTTTTGTACTAAACTTTCTTTGTATTTGAACATTTTCGTTTCTTCACATGACACATATTATTTTTTTTACACAAAAAGCAAGACCTTTAATGCTTTTTTCTATTTTTCGTCGATCATTGTGTGTAAAAAAGCGACATAAGTAAAAAAGTCCAAATGCTAAAATTAGACGCAAAAATTGCTAGCACTGTAGCCAACATGTTAAGATAATGATCCTTATAGTTGTACTATACAATACTTGTATTCACACCCTAAAAGTGTGCATCAACTGGATGAATGCTTCCAATATGCACATGAAGTAATGAGCTAGGTTGACGAGCGAGTGATGTAAGAAAAAAAAGAAAGAAAAAGAAGCCATGGATAGAAATTAAAGTTAATTTGTTCCTTTCTTTTTTTCGATAAAAAACTGATTTGTTGGTGTCGTTGTACTTCATGTGATTTAGCAAGTTTAAGTGTAGAAGGAATATGCATGTCAGCATGCGAAAGCTCGAGTGCCAAGCTGTGGTCCATAAAGCTGTATGTATACTTTAGTTGATGTAAAGTCCCCGGGCCGCGGCCGGCCGGGAAGAAATCCAAGAACATGGCATGATTAATACATATGTGATCCGCTCACCAACAAACTTCATTCGATCTGCTTCCTTTTCTTTAAGATTTCAATATATATTTCCTCTACATTTAGTTGATATATGGTCTACGCGCTTCCACGTCGGTTCAATAGTGTTTTTTATGTGTTAAATTCAAATAACTTTACATGTAAATTGTTGAAAGAGCTCGTCGAGAGTGAATTTCATATCAGAAAATTAAGATACATTGCAAAAACTAGACTTATAAAAAGTTGAATTACTTCTTTCATTGTCAAAGAACTTAAGATAAAACGTCTTCTTTCTTAACAATAATTGATGTTTTTGGAATGATTTTCCGACTTGGCATTGACTTAGTTGCCCCAAGACTATTAGCAGTGATTATTTTAGTACTTGCGTTTTAAGTGCTTAGTTTAATAATTGTATTTTTTTTATTTTTCTTTTTTCGTATCTATGGATGATAAACGTGACAGTGACACCACCAAAATATCTAAAAGTAAAAAGGCAAAATATGTTAGTGGCGTCTTATAGTCAATGAAATATTTCATTATAAATCGTACATGATGATAATTGATGAATAAGAAGTTTCCCTTGTTCTTCTTTAATTAATTAGATATGTCACATGCTCTAGTTTAAGGCGGGCGAGGTTTAAATTAAATTATATATAGCGGAGTATATCAAACTTGTTATTCTTGTGAGTTGAACACAAAATTAAAACTTTTATTTACTAGTTGAGAGAATACTACTATTATATTGCTGCAAAACTTTTAAGGGAAGAGATTCTTTATTTTTTTTAAAAGAAAATTAGTTGTGAGACCAACATCACAATCGAATTTTAACGATCTGAACCGTCTATTTTTCAA